AGAAACAATGTTCTGAACAGCTTGCAACCCAAGGTGGAAACGGGAGCTGTGCTGAAGTTTGTTTTTCATGAACTGGAGATCCAACTTGAGATCCTGTGAGCTGCTGCCTGGTTTAGTGATTGTGCCTCTGAAAGCAACCACGTACTTGGGAGGAGTTTGAGCCAAATAGTTGCAAGAGGAATGAGGTAGTCTCAGTTCATAAATGGAGCCAAAGAACGATAGATCATCAGGATCCACAAGCACATGGACCAGCTGGAAATTAAAGAATTCCCACCAAGGAGGAGCAAGAGCATTTGCGCTTTGCCGGTTCTCCTGCCGATCACGTTCAAGAATGTAGACACCCTGAACCAAGCTAGCCGCAATGGACCTCCTATGATGGGCATTTGTCCTGCAAGACATCAAATTGTATTCTCAGGGACAATTGACTGCACAAAGAGCAGATAACATAAGACTCTGAACTCATCCACCGTAGACAGAAAATCATTTCGTGAGTTGTGCAACTCACAAAATTTTCTTGCTTCTGATCATGAGATACATAGAAGGCTATTAGTTAGCAGAAAAGCAGATCCTTGAATACTGACAACAACGCATCCTAATGGTTGATATTTGAAAGGTTAATCATCTTCCAGATGATTGCTGGTTCTTAAAAGATCCTATTAGAACAATATCCAGTCCAGCCATAGAAAAGTTGCGCGCATCATTTGAGTTTGAACTCATGGTTAAACGAACAAATTATTAACAAGGATGGCCATACCAATCGATCACAGTTAACTTCAGTGGTCCTGAAAGACTAAAAATCTCCCTGTCAGAGGCCATTAGTTGAAACTGCCCCTTCCTTCTTTTCCTCCTGATGTTCTGGGATATGACTCTGCTAAAATGTGAAAAAGGGGAAGAAGAAAAGCGAAAGAAAGTGAATATACCTGCTGCATAATTCAGAAAGGTTCGTATTGCAGTCTTCTTGTCATGCTTCACAGGCTTTAGACAAATTAAGTATCACGGGAAATTGAAATATTTTTTAAATACTTCACAGTCTTCACACAAAAATCTACTGAAATGCAATTTTTGAGGAAGTAGGAACTAAACAGAAACATGGAATGTTACATACTACTAGTGGGCAGTCGGAATTTTATTTGAATGAATTTCATTCGTCCACAAAATCCAACTTATCTCATCTCCGCTAATATTAGGTCAGCTATAATAATCGCATCTGTTGGCCCTCTAGCACTTCATATGTCCCTTTTCCGTTTTCAAAGCTCCTCATATCATGAGTTCATAACGATCATCTTTCCGCAGTTAAATTAAGAAATCAATAAACATCGTAGCAGAAATACAAAAGTAAATAGTAACAACCACGTAGCATGTAACATTAGAATCGATGGCGTAGCATTCGATAAAGTGATAAACGAAACAAAACTCTAATTAGTTTTAAAAACTTGAGAAAAAATATGTGAAGATCAATCCAATTACCACAGGTCAACTCAAAGTCTCTGCTTACAGTTGGTTGATTGACGCTGGCAAAGTCGTTTCCGAGGTGCATATAATACCTACAAACAACAAATGTAGGTAGGTTTTGTGTGGGAAAGAGAGATACTGATAAGCGATAGGTGCTTCAAGATATTTTCATGGAAGCCGGAAGGGAATTAGACACGGGGAAGAGCAGGAAGGAGAAGAAAGGTAGACAACAACACGAATGTCGCAGCGGTGCACTAGTTGGCGTTATATTTTAAGAGGACGATCAAAAGTCAATGCGTCTAACCAGCAACTCTCGAATTCGAATAGTTGGCACCAAAATAGTTTTAAATCGGTCGAGCGATTAAATTCTCTTACCTATATCCTAAAATTCAGGCTTTTCTAAAAATATTGTTAGCAAATGCATAGACAATCGTTTAAATTATGCATCTGCTAAGTCGGTTTGAATTATGCATCTGCTAATTCGGTGGTTGTTCAGTCCCCTCCGACTTATTCTTGAAACTCTTCAGGTCCCCCTCTTTTTAATATAAAATAATATAGATTTTTCTTATTCAGCAACAAAAAAAAAATCAAAAATTAATGTAGCACATCATTTGATCCGATGATAATATATAGTTTCCTCCAAATTATTTTTGGACATTTCCGACCCCCTCCCTTTGCATAGGGTAGCGTAAGTCTATCAATAAAAAAAAACAAAAATCAAAAGTCAATGCGTCTGCAGTTTGGGAAACTTGCAGAGGCGTTGCGGAAAGCGACGAGAGCTATCTTTCTGAGATCCATCCATCGGCCAAGTTGTACATTCTTTTATATTTCTACTCCTTCCTCCTCCGTCCACGATGGATCTATCCATTTCTTTTCTTAATTCTTTTCTTTACTGTTGGATCCTATAATCAAAGTTTGGATTCTAGGCTGCAATTAATGGTAAGATGAATTTAATTTAAAATTGGATGAATGAAATTGATCATAAGACATGGTTTGTATTAAAAAAAATATCAAAATTTATTGAAATTTAAAGTGTTATTATCATTGTGTGTACAGTTATTGTATTAGTGTATGGAAAAGTCTGAAGTAACGGTAGTTATGGTAACGAAACTATTTTTATCTGATATAATAGGTAAAAATACTTTTAGCGACTATTTGATTACCTGTTGTACTGGTCATCTAAATAAAATAGTACCTAAAATTTTGGTTAGTAAGTTTTGCATAAAAAATAGTAAGTTAACTCGATATATTAGTAACTTTTATGTCTCAAAAAGTAAACTTGAATAAATATGGAACTAATTTTTTTTTTTTGAAGTAAAATACTAATACGTTGTAGTATCGTAACATCGGGACGAACAATTGGGAAAAAAAAACTTGTTTTTAAAATATAAACAATTATCTACACTTATTGAGATGCGAGGATTCGATGTTAGTACCTAGAAGCTAAATGGCGGCCCTCAAAACTTCTACAATTTATTTTCTGATTTTAAGAATAAAGATGTGATTATTAATAAGAATATACGATTATAATATGTAATGCAACCAATAATGGTGTCGTGCTATAAACATTACGAGATTACATTGACTTTATTATTAAAGACCAAGTTTGGGCGCCGTCAACGCATGGTGAGTCGGTGACACTAATGAGTTACCTATTATTCCTCGATACCCACAATAAAGTTTGGTGGGAAAGAATGGGTCAAATATATTATAGGGGTTAAAGTATAACTAAGAGTTTCAGGATTCGAATCCTTTTATTTATATTAAAAAATAAATAAAATGTTCAGTGAATTGTCTCATAGACATGATTTTAGCACTCCAAAATAAGTTTCACAGACTTTATTTTGTGAACTGGATTAAATGGCTAATATATCCACGTAATATTTTAAAGTTACAATATTGCCTTCTATATTGAAAACTTTAGATTGGTTTTTTTTATTTTATAAACCTTTAAATATATTATACATTGATGCATGCATTATTAAGACCTGTGAAGGAACATTCTTTTGGACTTTCCAAAATGTAACGTATTCCAAAAAAAAAAAATATATATATATATATATATATATATTTCCTATCTTACAGAGTATTCTTTTAAATTATAAATGTAAATAATCAAAAACTTCTCTTTCATAAATTTTATTTGTTAATTAGTATACACTGAACATTCATTTTGTCTATTTCTTTCAATTTTTTGAACAATAGGATTCCAAAGAGGTTAATTAAAGTTAAATTATTCGTAAACGTGACTATGCATTTAAGTTGTAAAAAAAAGAATCTAAACTATGGGTAATTGTATTAGTTTGAACAATATAAGAGAAATAGATGAGTTTTTAAAATAAATTGTCAGCCGGTCAATATCAGCTAAGGCTCATATTGACTTTTAGTTTATCAAATAAATTGGAAAAGTAAACTATATAGGTCTAGAAGAAATAGGCAAACATTTTACCTATACTTAAAATAAAAAGCAGTTACTATTTAAAATTAATTTAATTTTTTCGATGTCGGGGTGAAATAGGTTAGGTGATATGGGAAAGAAAAAAAAATGTTGCTTGATACCAACTCATTTGATATAGATAAAGTTTTTTTTTTTTGGTATTGAAAAGCTAAGTGCAGTAAAAATATTTCGTTTAAAGATACAAGGAAGGTATTAAATGCTGCATTAATTGGCACCACGTAGTATTAATATAAAAAATAAGGTAAATGAATTATTCAGAAATTATTTAAAATAATATTTTAATTTTTGAATGATTTGATTTCTCTGATGTAAAAAAGTGAATAGAAAATATATCTATAATATAAATTTTTTTTTTTCAGATAATCACTCATCCATACATGCGCGTTTGCCATTAGATGTCAACGTAATAAGACAATTGCTTTTTCTTTTCTTATTTTTGGTTTCGAAAAGGGGAAAGTTCAAATGTTATAAGTGCATAAAGCAGATCCAATTAATAATGCTGGTGTTGGGTACTATTTACAGTCAGTTTTTTTTTAGGGATAATTTCAGATACCTCCCCTGAGGTTTCTGACAGTCTCACTCTTCTCCCTTGTAGTTTCAAAAATATCACATACCTCCCCTGTCAGAATTTATGTCTCATTTCTTACATCATCATGGTCAGAACGACTTAAATACCTCACAAGTCTGCTAACATTTCGTGATTATCAAGACAAGTACAATCCAACTCACATAATTACTTTTTTCTACGCTATATGTAATCTCCCTTTTACATGTATACATAGTCAAATAACTAAATCTAACATGATGTAAATTTTTTAAACATCTAACCATTCCAAATTTATGTGTACCATTACATTACCTTTTATAGATATACACAGTCAATTAACTAACATTTAACATAATGTATATATTTATAAACTGATTGTATCTCATAGATCATATCGTATAAGGTGTTTATAGACAAATTAATATTAGTCATATAGATAAAATTATATACCCACTGCAGCTTGTAAAGAGATACACAAGTGAGTCAAAGTATCAATAACCATTCCAAATGTATACATATCATTGTATTATGCATATTGCTGCGATGACTAATTGCAATATGCATGTAAATAAATAACTGCATGTTCAATAATTTCTATGCATCGTACATAGTCGATAACACGGTGTACATTATTTCAACCAGATTATACATTCACTAAGTATTTATATACATGTTATTTATTGAAATAAACTACCTCTTTACAAAATATTTAATGCACTCTCATAAGCACTAATGATTGATTTAATATGCAATTGGAACAAATAACCATCTAGTAAAAGTTTTTGATATAATATTATTGATGAATAACATATTGTATCTGAAATTATCCCTTTTTTCTAATTTATTTTTTATTTTTGTTAGTTTTCATTATTTCACTAATATAACTTGTACACTTACCTCAGGGGCATTTATGAAAACAAAATTCCCTCTCTTTCCTAAAAATACTTTTTTATGTTCACTTTTGATATCATGGTCTAATTTTGTTACAAAATCCTAAACCTCAGGGGAGGTTTGTGATATTTTTGAAATCACAGAGGAGGTGAGACTGTCAGAAACCTCAGGGCAAAATGATTATCCCTTTTTTTTTTATATACAACCAAATGATTATAGGAAAGCCGCAAATGGAGTGGAGGGCACGTCTTTAAATCTGAAATTTCTCGAGGACGTTTTTACAAATAAAGGTGTTCTGGAACTCTCGAATGGGTAGACTGTAGAGAGCGTTTTCTTTAACTCTTCGGCTGAGCTGAGTCATTCTCCGCAGAATGTGCGTGCGGCGGTGAACGTCTTGAGTCGTGCATCAGCAGGGGTCCCCGGGACGCTTCTCGACGAGGAAGACGACCCAGGTCACCTCAGTCGATTCTTTTCGTTGTTGCCACGTGTCATCCTATTAACCACACGCATATTTACGGCAAATCTGAAAACAAAAAGAAATAGATAGAAAAAATTACTTCATCAATGATGGTAATGGAGAAAGGCCTGAACACAATTGGAATATTCGTACAATTATGCATTTGTTTGTTGTACATTTTACTTGCATCTGTTTGCCGTACGTAATTTTGTTCTTGTGCATCAACTCAATAGTAATTAATTGATGACAACCACAATTCAATCGTAAATGCACAACACGTAGCAACTGTACCAATTGTACTGTCTCCTTCAGCTGAGCTGTTTCAGTTTGACCGCCCGAAGTTAAAAACGGACGGAACGGCCTCCCAGTTCCGGTAGCTGTCCGCTGGAATTAAGATTGAAACCCTTTCTGTCAAAACTCACTGAAGTTGAGTTCGATTTTAGTTTCAGAAATCTGTACCACCAATCAATTTCACTTGCGTTTCAAAATTGACTCGCTGAATGAGGGGTGACACTTCTGGATACATTGGTTGGTGTAATGGGCGACCACAAGAGATTGAGGGAAGCAGGCAATGAGTCAGAGGAACGCGATGCAAATACATTTCCGCTTTATTAATACTGAGAAAATAGCAACCTATCCGAGACAGGCCAAAAAAAAAAGGAGAGAGAATAAATTTTACCTACATTATTACCGTTGAATTCATGATATATATGTAAAAGTTAAATTTTAGATTTAAATTTTACATATTTATTATTATTCAACGCTGACAGTGTGTATATTATCAGTATAGTAAAAATTAATTTAAAAAAAATTAGTAAGATTTAAAATGCATGGTGTTAGTAAGCACGGCACAAGGGGACATCATAATAGTGGCCAATTGGGCATCAATGAATCCAAAACAAGCTGACATGTTATCCCGCCCAGTGCGCAGGCATGGTCCTTCCTTGCACAAAAAAAAGTCGAACGTAAAATCCAAATTGTACACTCACAAAAACACGCTCAAACAATTTTCAATATATATATATATATATCTATATATATACACACATACATCTCAAACTTCCTTCAGGAAATCACTTGTAATGTGCTCTGGTCTCTTGGTAATTTTTCCTTGGGAATCACTTACAATGCTCCCTTGCTGATCTTTTCTTAAAATTTGGGATAAATCTATAGCATTTTGTAATGCAATCCAGTGTATGTTCCTACTTGGCATACCGCCACTTTTCAATTTTCACACCTTATTGACAAGCGTATCACGCCACTCAAAGGTAATGATAAATTCAAAATTCAAGTTCAAAATTATTCATACTCTTCCGTTGTTTTTTTTTTTGTTTGGGAACTTTACTTAATTCAAATTTTTACTGCTTTCTAAAGTGTGTTGGACTGTTTTAGTGCCTGAGGCGGATGCAGAGCTTCTTGATTTTATATAATTTACTTTCACATCCTAAGAAGAGTGTATTGTGTGAATAGAATTTTTAATAGTTTCAAGAGAAGGATAAAATTCTTTTTTTTTTTTTTTTTTAACTTCTGCAATTTTGATGAAACTAAATCACTATGTTACGTTTTGCAGGTGCTAGTTACTTGACAAATGGGTATCTTGATACAATTCTTGAATGGATCATTCCCGGAAAGGAAGATATTCGTTTGAGAGATCTTCCAAGTTTCCTAAGGACCACAAATCCAGATGACTTTATGATAAAATTCATCCTACAGGAAACTGAGAATGCTCAAAGGGCTTCCGCTATTATTTTAAATACTTTTGAAGAATTGAAGCATGATGTAATAAGTTCTCTTCCAGCTTATCTTCCCCCAATCTATCCCATTGGGCTACTACATGTCCTCGAGAATCTTTGGAAGGAAGAACCAGAATGTCTTGAATGGCTTGATTCAAAGGAACCAAACTCCGTGGTTTATGTGAACTTTGGACGCATTACTGTAGTGGCATCTGAGCAACTAGTTGAATTTGCATGGGCAGCAAACAAACTTTTTTATGGATCATAAGAGATCTCGTCAAGGGCGATCTAGCTATTCTTCCTGACGAACTTGTGGAAGAAACCAAACATAGAGGCTTGTTTGCAAGTTGGTGCAATCAAGGGAAAGTTCTTAGCCACTCGTCTGTGGGAGGATTCTTAACTCATAGTGGATGGAACTCCACAATTGAAAGTATTAGCAGTGGGGTGCCTATGATATGTTGGCCATTTTTTGGTGATCAACAAACCAATTGCTCGCTGGAAGCATTATCAAATTTTTCCCCTCTTTTTTTGAGAGCTTCCCTCTCTACGATGAGAGCCTTGCCTCCTCTTCAGTGGGAGTACAAACACTCTTTAGAGCACTTAAACCCATCTCTCATCGGTCTCTCCTCTGTAGATTTTCAGTAGTTCTTCCAGCCTCAAACAAATCTTCTCTTTCTCCTTTTATTGAAGCTGATCTTTAGAAAAAAAATAAAAAACAAAAAACAAAAAACAAAACAAAACAAATCTTCTCTTTCTGAAAATGTCTTAAACTCTCTGCTAGGGATGGCAACGGGGCGGGGTTGGGGCGGGGGACCCCTCCCCCGTCCCCCGCCCCGTTGCCTATTAGTTCCCCCCGTCCCCTGCCTCCCGCTCCCCCCGCCCCCGCCCCGCCTTGCCCCGCTTCCCCCGCGGGTGCCCCCGCGGGGTTAATAAAATTTTATTATATAATTTTATTATAATTAAATTTTAATAAATAATCAAGTACTAAAATATCAACACATCACTAAATTATTATTCAGTGTAATTTTACAATTGAAACTCATAAAAACAATCAAACAGAAGTTATTTGAATACAATCCAATATGATGAAATAAATATAACTAAAATAGTCAAATTTTCACTTTTAGTACAAATGCAATCACTAATTCATCATTGTGTTTGCGCTTTTTTTTTGAGAAAAAAGTGTTATTCTATTAAGTGTAATTAGAAATTTAGTATAAATGTATTAGTAAATTTAGTATAACTAATTAATAAATTCTATTAGTAGACATGTATAATTATTCATATAATTTTATCAATTATATTACATAAACTAATATACATTATATAATACATCTAACTAATAATATCATTATCATAAGTTTATAACTAATTAACTTACATATAATATATAGTCATTTATATATATATATATATATATATATATATATATATATATATATATATATATATTTTTTTTTTTTTTTTTTTTTTTTTTGCGGGTGGCGGGGCGGGGGATGGGGCGGGGAGTATAACCCCCGCCCCCCGCCCCGTTTCTAAGCGGGGGGAAAAAATTCCCCCCCGCCCCCGCCCCACCCCCATCCCAACCCCCGCCCCATGAGCCCCTCGCGGGCACCCGCCCCCATTGCCATCCCTACTCTCTGCTTTTAATTTATTTTTTAATTTCTTACTTTCTTGGCTCTGGGATTAGGGGGTAAACGCCTAACCCAGCATCTTGATTTTATTTTCCCTGCGCAGGTCGATAACGTAGCAATTCATCGAGTGAGGTGTCTGGAATACCATTGAATATCACAACAAAATCATGGCGGAAGAACTTGTGGAAGTGTTTGACAGATTTGATTTATCCAACAGAGAAAGCTCAGGAGTTAGCTTGGACGGGGTCGATGTGGATATTGGTAAGAAAGAATGCAGGAAAAGTCTCTTTGGAAGAATAATGGGGGAAAGGATCACCAACTTCACTGGAGTAAAGAACTTTGTCAATCAAGTGTGGGGTTACCTAAGGAATTTGGTGGCTGTGGAGCTGGGAGCAAATCTGTTTCAGTTTAATTTCTCTGATGTGATGGATATGGAAAAGATACTGAGTGGAAGACCATACACAATTGACAACTAGCTTCTCAACATCAAGCCGTGGGAGGAAGGCATTGATCGCCAGATGGAGGCATTCCAAAAAGCCCACATCTGGGTTCAACTATGGAACCTGCCAATACATTGGATCACAAAGGAGATAGGGGTTAAGATTGGTGGTATATTTGAAGATGTGGAGGATATTATTATCCCAATGGGTGGAAGTAAAGAAGGGAGACACATAAAGCTGAAAGTGGTTATTAATACATCCCTTCCACTGTTGAGAGGAACGGTGGTGAAATTAGGAGGTCAGAGCATCTGGGTAGAGTTCAGGTATGAAAAGTGCCCAGATTTCTGCTATGGATGCGGATTAATTGGGCACAGTGACAAATCTTGCAGGCACAAATCAGGGACAACCAGGGGCAATTCCAAACCTCAATTTGGACCTTGGATGAGAGCTCAAACCAAGGGTGCTTCTCCAAAAAAGAGAACAGAGTATCGGTCTGATCCCCCTAAAGATCCAAAAGAATCGATGAATGCGGTTGCACAGAAATTACTGTTCGAAGGAGAATACATAGTTCACCAGTCAAGGGGGCTGGGAGCCAGTAGAACTGACATTGACGAACTGAAGATTGTCAGGAAAGAGAGGGAAGATGACACAGTCTTGTCAGGCAAAGAGTGGGCTCAAAAAATCCATGATCAAAATTCAAATTTGGGCGCGGCGGAAAAGAAAGTAAGTGAGCCCACCTCTGAAAACACAACAGAACAAGAAGGCGGCAAGTGGGTTCAAGGGGAAGTCAAAAGTAACTTAAGCCCAGGCCCAATTTGTAGCTTGACTCCAAAATGTCCCCAATATAAGCAGGATTTCAAACAGGGCCTGGAGGATTAGATGGACATTTTAGTTGAAACTAACGAGGAAGGAGGAAATAACACCTCTCTCGGACATTCTCCTGGAGATCATTCAGCTGCAAACCAAGGGGTAAGCAGTCTAATACCAGCAGGTAGAGAGATGGGAAATAAAGGTAGGAAGCAATTTAAGGTAGCCAGGAAAGATGGTAAAGGACTACAAGGTCAGCGTCAGCTGGGTAGGCTCCCACTATCAGATATGGACATGAACATTGAAACTACAACAGTAGCTGCAAAGAGGAGATTACCAGAGGAGGAGGAAGAAGCCAGCCATATGCAAATTGACGGGGGCTTAGCTAAAAGAGTTAAATGGAAGCAAGATTGCAAATGGGAACCAAATTCTGAGGTCATGGAGGCCAGCCTTAATTGGTCTCCCAAGTCCACATGATAGTTGCGGCGTGGAATTGTCGAGGGGCAGGGAGCTCCTTGACTATTCCCTGTCTTAAGGAGGTAATCCACCTCCACTCCCCTGACATTATTTTTTTATGTGAAACAAAAAATCAAAAAAAGTTTTTGAACGGGTTTAAAAGGAAAATAGGGTATGAGGAAATGGTTTTAGTAGAACCTGTTGGTAGAGCTGGTGGGCTTGCTGTTTTTTGGAAAAATACCACTAAGGTTTTGAATGTTTTATCCATCCCTTTTACCATTGAACTTCTGTTGAATGATGATAATGAATCTGGTAACTGGTGGTGCATCTTTGTATATGCTAGTACTGATGATAAAATTCGGAAAAAGCAATGGGATTGTTTGTGTAGTAGGAACAATATCTGGGGTAAAAACAAAATTTTAATTGGTGATTTTAATGACATAATTTCCAATGATGACAAATGGGGGGGCAGAACACGACCAAATTGGACTTTCTCTGATTTTAAAGACTTCATTAACAAAAATGAGCTCCTGGATGTTGGTTTTGAGGGCCTCCCATGGACTTGGAGTAACCTTTGGGTGGGGGAGGATGAAATTAAACAGAGATTGGACAGAGCTCTTGCAAGTGTTGACTGGTGTGAGGTATTCAAAGATGCAAGAGTGACCCATATTGAGGTTGAAGCCTCTGATCACAATATCATCCTTTTAGAGACAGAGCCTAGAATTAGGAAGCCAAAAAGAAGATTTCATTTTGATCCCAGATGGCTACAATATAGGGAAGTAGAAGGCCTAATCCAAGAGGCGTGGGGTAAAAATCAAGTGGGGTCCAGAGCTGTGAGAATCAGTAGGAAGATCAAGCAGTGTAGAATGTCTCTCTCGGCTTGGAGCAGAACATTGAAGCTAAACAGTAGGATGGAAATTAAAAGGATCAAAGAAGAAATTCAAGCTGCGAGGACCAGAAATGGTGGTGATAATAAAGAAACCATAAGGAGGCTTAGGAAACAACTCTCTGTTGCCTATAAGCAAGAGGAACTCTATTGGAACCAGAGGGCAAGAATCAAATGGCTTCAAAATGGGGACAAGAACACAGCTTATTTTCATGCTGTGGTGAAGGGCAGAAGGAAAAGGAACAAAATTTCCAGACTGGAGAAGGAGCAGAGAGGATGGTGTGCAACTGAGGAGGACATTGGGGAGGAAATTGCTCATTTTTACAGCCAGCTGTTCACATCCTCGAAGCCATCAGAATTTGATGAGATATTAAATGGTATTCCTAAGACTATCACGGAGTAGATGAACCTGCAACTTACCAGACCTGTCACTGAGAAGGAAATCAGGATTGCTGTGTTTTCCATGCACCCCAACAAATCACCTGACCCAGACGGTATGTCCCCTGTTTTCTTTCAAAGATTTTGGGATATTATCAAAGTAGATGTAGTGGATGCTATTCGAAGCTTTTTTCACACTGGTTTCCTTCCGAAATCCATCAATGAGACCTTGGTCACCCTTATTCCTAAAATAGACAACCCCCTCAACCTGATTCACTATAGGCCTATCAGTCTATGCAATGTTTTTTACAAAATTATCTCTAAGGTTTTGGTTAACAGACTCGAACCTTGTCTTAACTCTTGCATCAGTTACTCCTAGGCTGCTTTTGTCCCAAATAGGCAAATTCTGGACAATGTCATAGTAGCTCACGAATACATGCATTGGCTGAAATCAAAAAGAGAGGGGAAGGAGGGTTACATGGCCATTAAGCTTGATCTTTCCAAAGCCTATGATAGAGTCGAATGGAATTTTCTTTATGCCGTACTGTGCAAAATGGGGTTTGCCCCTCTGTGGATTAGATGGATGCATGGGTGTCTGTCCTCAGTGTCTTACTCCTTCAATGTTAATGGTGTTAAGCGAGGGTATGTTAGTCCTACGAGGGGGATTAGGCAGGGAGATCCCCTTTCCCAGTATCTTTTTTTGTTTTGTGCTGAAGGACTTTCTAACCTCCTTAATAACGCTGTCAGTAATAAACAAATCTCAGGAATCAAGATTGCAAGACAAGGACCCAAAGTTTCCCATCTATTTTTCGCTGACGACTCACTTATTTTTTGCAAAGCTAATGGTGATGAAGCAGGACATATAAAAGCAATATTGGAGTGTTATGGGAAAGCATCGGGGCAACAAGTCAACATCAACAAGTCTGCGGTCTTCTTCAGCAAAAGTACAGGCAGTAGAGAGAAGGAGGAGGTACTACAAAGGCTAGGAGGAATCCAACAGGTTACACAGGGGAAGTATCTGGGCTTACCTTTAGTTGTTGGAAGGTCTAAAAACAGTGTGTTCAGGTTTATTAAAGAGAATTTGATGACTAAAATCCAAAGCTGGAAAGGGAAACTTTTGAGTAATGCTGGGAAAGAGATTTTGCTAAAATCAGTGGCTACTGCTCTCCCATCCTATGCCATGTCTATTTTCAGATTATCCAAAAGCTTGTGCAAAGAGCTAAGTGGGTTAATGGCCAGATTTTGGTGGGGAAATGATCAAGGGGATAAAAGAATGCATTGGAAGAAGTGGAATGACTTAGCTGAGAGGAAAGTGAATGGTGGTCTTGGGTTTAGGGACTTACTATGCTTCAATGAAGCTTTGCTAGCCAAACAAGTGTGGCGAATTCTCACTTGTCCCAACTTGTTGGTTAGCAAAGTTATGAAAAGTAGGTACTTCCCTAACTCTAATATCTTTGAATCCAAGGTAAAGGCTAGGGCATCTTGGATTTGGCAAAGTTTGCATAGTTCATTAGAGATGTTGGAAAGTGGGATGTGGAAGCAAGTTGGGGATGGATCCACGGTGGAGATCTGGAAAGATAGATGGGTAGAGGGTTCAAAAAGTGGAAGAGTCTCCTCTCCTAAACCGAATGGTTACCAACTGACCAAAGTTTGTAATTTGATTAAAGGGAAGCAATGGAACAAGGACATCATTCAAGGACTGTTCGCAAAGGAGGAGGCAGAGGCAATCATGTCAATTCCACTCAGTGTATTCCAAATGAAAGACAGGTTCAAATGGAAATATACGGCAAATGGTTGTTATTCTACTAAATCTGGTTACGCTAGGGCCAAAGAGCGAATCAAAGAGATCAGTGAGAAGAATAAGGCACAAGATAACTCCAGCACAAACAAAGAAAGATCCAAGGTCTGGAACCAGCTTTGGGGACTGAACATCAAACACAAAATTAAGCACTTTTTGTGGAAATGCCTCCATTGCATCCTTCCAACTAATAAGGAAATTTTTAGAAGGACGGGCAAGGGTGATCCGCTTTGCAAATGCTGTGGGAAAGAACAAGAAACTACTGAACATGCATTACTTCTCTGCAAAGCTAGAGAGATGGCTTGGGCAACATTCCCTGTTTCATGGGATGGTATTAAAGACTATAGTTGGAACTTTTGGAAATGGTGGGAATATATGCAGGAGGCCAGATCAAGGGAAGATGGAACTAAACACATTGAACTCACAGCAAATTTTCTTTGGCAAATCTGGAAGGCAAGGAATGAGGGAAACTTTCACCAGGCAAGGACAGAGGGGCACCAGATAGCCAAAAAAGCAATGGATGAATGGTTAGAATATGAGGAAGAAGGTAGCAATGCTGTGAGGGACAAGGAAGTTAGTTCCCAAATAGATGACAGGCAGGGCATGTTAACTGGTCTGGTGGAACAACATAGCTCCATTATGTACACGGATGCTGGAATGAATCAGACCAAGGAAAAAGCAGGAGTGGGGATCATAGCTAAAGATAACAATGGCAGGATCCTGGCAACCTGGTCCATTCCGTATTTAGGAGCCAGAGATGCGGCAGAATTGGAGGCTATTGCTATTAGAACAGCCTTGAGCAAAGCCATAGAGGAAAACATGTCATCCTTGTTGATTCTCTCTAACTGCAAAGCTGTTGTGGACAGAATCAATGTAGGATGTCAAGGTTTAAACTCTCTGGACATGCTAATTGAAGATATAAGGCAACTGAGTCGCTCATTCTAGAAATGTTCCTTTTTTCACATTAGGAGAGAAATGAACCTGTGTAGTCACAGGTTAGCTAAGTTAGCAGTTAACTTGGTACAAGAAACTAAGTGGAAGCAATCCTTCCCTGTGTGGCTTTACAAAGAAGCCCACAATGATTTCCTGGTAGTTGCCAGTCTTTTGTAAATCTGCTGTGCAGACTAATTTGTAACCCTTTACCTATATATTGAAGTTGATATTTGACAAAAAAAAAAAAACAAACCAATTGCTGGTTTTGCTGCACCAAGTGGGGTATTGGAATGGAGATAGACAAATAGACAATAATGTTAAGAGGGATGAATTTGAAAGTCATGTTATAGAGTTAATGGCTGGAGAGAGAGGTAAGGAGATGAAGAAAAAAGCCATGGAGTGGAAAAAATTGGCAGAAGATGCTGCTTCTCGTTGTAGTGGTTCTTCTAGGACTGCAAACAAACCGAATCGAGTCGAGTTTTGGCCTTATCGAACCGGGTCTTGACTTAATTTTATTGAACTCGAACTCGAGTTTGAACTCGACGAGCTGACAATTTAAAGTTCGAGCTCAAGCTCGAAAAAAATAAAAAAATAATTATTTTATTTTTAAAAAATAAATAAAATAATATTTTTTCTTAATAAATAATAAAATATTGAGAATATATATGTAATTTTACTATTAAAATTAAAAATATATTTATATTTAAAAATATATATATACTTAAAATTATATATATATATACTCAAGCCCGCGAGTCTAACGAGTTTAATATTTTGAACTCGAGTTCGAGCTCGATTTCGACTCGAACCAGCTCGAACTCGATATTGATTGAGTTCGAGTTGAGCTTGACTTGAGCCGCTCGTGAGCGGTACGGTTCGTTTGCAGCCTAGTTTCTTCTTCCGGAAATTTTGAGAATTTGATCAGTCAACTGCAACAATCCAAGACATTAGACATGTTGGAATGCAACCACGATAATGTTAATAATTGGCCTCATTAATGTAGGATCTCAATTGATGTACTGTGGTTATATTTTAGAAAGCAAACTTGTGGGACATGCATTTTCGCTTTTTAGGATTAATTTCACAGGTATCTACTAACGAGTAAAATGAAAATCAAATCATTGAATCATTTTCTCTTTTTTTTTTTTGAGCAACTTTTAACTTTCAATTAATCAAGCATGAAATAGTATACACAATTATACAGGAATGGTACGTACATTCCAATTACATCATTATCTCACTAAACTTAATACAAAACGTCATTAGCTAAACTATATACATCAGCTAAAACAACAATGTGGCAGCCCAAGTTCCAAAGCTGGCTCCCAATTAGCACTGTGAAAGTGGAACTTTACTCCAACCTGCTACTACATCTCGGACAGCAGAGAGACAAAGCACAATAGCTACCGTAGTCATAGAGGTTTGGTGAAATGCAGCTTGGTTCCTAGCCCTCCATAGATGATAAGTTGCAACACTAAAAACCAGCCTCTTCACCTGATCACGGAATGAATTAGTTTGCCAATGAGTGTAGATCCAATCCAGTTCACTATGCCATGGAAGCACCCTGAATCATTTTCGGGACGGAAGAAAACATTCGAATGAGACTGTGGAGGTCGTGGCTTAATAACCCACATTTTTGTGCACATGCAAGCCACAACTACGTAATCACTTATGCGGTTACAGACACTGGTTACAAAGTCACAAAGTTAGCCGGCAAATATATATATATGTATATATATAAGGCAACCATCAAGTAAACCTTTCAAACTTAACATTAATAATGATAGATGTCTTTTTCCTAATTTTTATTTGGCCACATCCGCTCCTTATATTATAATAATTTTTACTTTAACAAATAATTTTTACTTTCAATTTTCGGAGTTATTATTGTTGGGAAATTACTTCCATGTATGTATAGTGCACTGTAGCATGAATTATTGGAAAAGACATAATTGGTTTAACTTTTTAACTTGCTAAATCGGTAGTATCTCTAATTCTCTCTGTACATCTCCAAAAAAAGAAAAAAAAAAGGGGAGAGAGAGAGAGTCTATTGATGTGATGAATTTTATGCTTGAAAATGCACAATTTGATTTGACATGATCTTTCGAAGGGAAAAAGAAATACCAGTCAGGGGCGGATTTAAGGTGGGGGCACTAGGGGCCCTTAAATCCCTATAATATTTATACAATTTTAACGTAATTTTGAGTGTGCCCCCCACTCCCCAAATTCTCTTTCCTCCTCTGTCCCCAATCGAAGGTGAAAAGAAATACCAGTCAGGGGCGGATTTAAGGTGGGGGCATTGGGGGCCCTTAAATCCCTATAATATTTATACAATTTTAACGTAATTTTGAGTGTACTCCCCACTCCCCAAATTCCCTTTCCTCTTCTGTCCCCAATTCTCCCCCCCCACAACTGACGGCCTCTCCTTTCCTCCATTATTTACTTCTTTTGTCCCCACTTCCCAATCTCCCTTTTCTCCATCATTTATTGCTCCTTTGGTTTCCCAATTCCCCCCCCCCCAACAGAGCCACAATCGAGAGCCACTTTTTCTCCCACAGCCAAGTTTGTTACTCTTTCTCTTGATCACTTCATTAGTTCATCCGATTTAGAGATTGCACCATAATCAATTGATCTTCTGGGACCTAGATCTGTAACTCTGCCACTGATTTTCAGACCATCTGACCATCACAATCAGGTTCTAAGCAATTACTTATTATTATTATTATTTTGAATTTGTTTGCAAATATATTTCTAGAGCATGAGACTATTACTGTTTTAAAGAAATTTGAAAACTAATTAGTTAATGTAATAACTGATAAATGGGTTATTTGATAAATATTTTAATTTGTGAAATGGTGCTTTTATGGATTTATAATTTATGTTTTATTTTTCTTGATTAATTTCTTATATTGGAGTTAATGTAATGATGAATAGAGGGCCATTTGACATATATTTTAACTTTTAAATTATTCTTGTATGGATCCTTTTGTCTAATTAACTTGATTAGGTTCATATGTTGTGACTAATGATTTGTTATAGTGATGAATAAATAAGTCATTTAATAAATAACTTTAACTTATGAAATAGTTCTTGGATAGATTTTATTGTACATTTAATATTTTAATTGGATCAGTATCTTATATATTGATTTTAATTTCTTAGTTATGGAGAGATATTTCAAGAGGAAATCAATGGAAAAAGAGCCATCTAATAAGGAAGAAGCCAAGGATAATGAAAGTGCAAAAAATGACAATAAAAGAAGTTGCATGGGGATTAACTTAGATGAATTATCTGCTGATCCAGCCCAAAGAAAAAATATTGGGGATTATCATCCAAACCTTCAAGATGAAATTCGGAGATATTACTTACAAAAGGGACCATGTCAATCTCGTGAGCATGTTTTTCCAAAAAGAAAGATAGGAAAAAAGATGCGTGATTTGTTCGGGGCTGGTTTGATGATTACAAGAATTGGTTAAAATATAGTATTGAAAAAGATGCCGTTTATTGCTTATGTTGTTATCTATATAGACCAGATGTGGGCGAACAATCAGGTAGTGATAGTTTCATTAAGGAAGGATTCACAAATTGGAAAAAAAAAGGATAGCTTTGATGTTCATGTTGGTGGTCCTAATAGCGCACACAATCTGAGTTGGAGTAAACGTCAAAGTTTATTAAATCAAAATCAGCACATCGAAGTGGCATTTTTTAAGCAATTAGAGCAAATGAAGGCTAAGTATCGGACTCGTTTATTAGCCTCAATAGATTGTGCTAGATTTCTCCTACACCAAGGTTTGGCTTTTCATGGTCATGATGAACCTGATATCTTTGAAAATCAAGGAAATTTTTTTGAACTTTTGCACTTCCTTGCGGGTCATAATGATGATATAAAAAAGGTTGTTCTTGAAAATGCCCCTAAAAATCTCAAACTCAATGCTCCAGATATTCAAAAGGATATTTCAAATGCTTTGGCAAGTGAGACTACAAGCATTATTGTAAATGACATTGGACATGGACTGTTTGCTATTTTATGTGATGAATCTCGTGATGCATCAACAAAGGAGCAATTAGCAGTTGTTATTTGTTACGTGGATTCACATGGGTATGTGATTGAGTGCTTCCTTGGCATTCTACATGTAAGAGATACTACTGCTCTTTCACTTAAGAAAGCAATTGATGTTTTATTTTCAAAGCATGGTTTGACCATATCACAAATCCGTGGTCAAGGTTATGATGGTGCTAGAAACATGCGAGGCGAATATAATGGTTTAAAAACTTTGATCATGAAGGAAAATGGTTCTGCATATTATATTCATTGTTTTGCACATCAGCTGCAATTGTCACTTGTAGGGGTTGCAAAAAAACATGCCCAAGTCTCTTCTATGTATAATACATTGTCTACCTTAGTGCATGTTCTTGAAGGTTCATCTAAAAGACAAGAAATTGAACAACACCTTAAGAAAGTCATTGATGATCTAATGACTGGAGAACTTGTGAGTGGTTGGGGCTTAAATTAAGAAACTAGCCTTCAAAGAGCTTGTGATACACGTTGGGGTTCACATTTTGGCTCGTTGTTAAAGTTGGTTCTTATGTATGATTCTGTAATAGATGTTCTTTTGATAATTGAAAATGATGGTCTGGTGGAGCAAAGAGGTCAAGCATATGCACTTCTTAATTCTTTGCAATCCTTTGAATTTGCATTTATTTTACACTTGATAAAGAAAATAATGGGAATAACAAATGCATTATCTGAAGCATTACAAAGGAAGGATCAAGATATTGTGAATGCTATGGGTCTGGTCAAAGTTTCCAAGCAACAATTACAAGCTACTAGGAAAGATGGATGGGATTTTTTACTTGATGAAGTTTGTTTGTTTTGTGAAAAACATGAAATCATCATTCCGAAAATGGATGAAATATTCATTACCAGTGGGAGATCTCGAAGAAAAGTTTAGCAAATTACAGACCTTCACCACTATCGAGTTGAGCTATTTTGTGTTGTGATAGATTTACAACTCCAAGAACTCAACAATCGTTTCAATGAAGTCAATATGGAGTTGCTTCTTTGTATGGCATGCTTGAACCCAAGTGATTCCTTTGCAGCATTTGATAAGAAAACGTTGATTCGTCTTGCAGAACATTATCCTTGTGAGTTTTCTAAGTTGGATATTCTTGCACTTGACACTGAATTGGATACTTATATTAATGACTTAAAATCAGTTAAGGAATTTCTCGATTTAAGAAAAATTTCTGATCTAGCTCAAAGGTTGGTGGAGACTAAGAGAGATATTGTATATCCATTGGTTTATATGCTCTTAAAGTTGGCTTTGATTTTGCCTGTTGCTACACCTACAATAGAAAGGGATTTTTTAGCTATGAATATAGTGAAGAATCGGTTATGAAATAGAATGAGAGACACTTGGATGAATGATTGTTTAGTTACTTATATTGAGAAAAATATACTTCGTGAAGTTCAAAATGAGAAAGTCGTAAACCGTTATCAAAATATGAAAACTCGTCGTGAGTAATTGTAAATAATTTAGTTTGTTTTTGAAATAAAATTATTATTATATTAATAATTTTGAGTTTGTCATTTTATGTTTTTCATGGAATATACGTATCATTTGTACTTGTTGGTGAATTTTTTTTTTTGCTTAAAAAAAAAGAAAAAGATTAGATAAAAAATTTTAGTGTTATTTTTTCCTTTACTAAGATTTTTTTTTGGCTCCGCCACTGATACCAGTACAAACAATTCTTCATTTCTTGATCAATGGAAAAGTGTTTAGTTTTGCTAAAAAATGAAAACATCAAATTAATCTTTGAAAGCACAGAATTATATACTTTATAAAATATAAAGGTCAATTTCTATTGATTAGGTTCAGCGGCTGCTGTGCTAAGTACAAATAATTAAACAAATCTTGAATGCAATCCTCAACATGATAGACTAATCTATTCTATACATCTTATTTAATTGGACGAATTAACGCATACAACGAATCCATTATTCAAACTTACATTACTAGCTTCATGTTATATTCAATTATTATCTATAGTTTTTGATGAGCACAGCGTTGAACAAATCGCTGTCCTCATGGTTATAATGCTGAATTGCTGATCTGTTGAGTGCTTGAAGGCATTGTTCCAAAAAAAGAAAGAAAAAAGAAAAAAGAACCATCGGATTGTGTGTAACTTATTGACTCATTTGCACCCATTCACCGATCAATTCAACTCCTGCAAATTCTGCAGAATGGTTGATGGGGTTTAGAAATGTGTGGATATCAAATGGATTGGTGCGTTTCGAATAGGCAAGACCATCCTTCTGATCACAACCTGGTTTTGCCTCGTCTTGGGACAGAAGCAAATATTGGAATGAGATTTTGGACATGGTGGTGGCATCCCACATGTTTGTGCACATGCAGTATCTATACATTTTCTAACTTTCACTAGTTCTTAACAGTTATCAGCGTTAACGGGTATTTCAATTCCATCATGAAAATCTGGACGCTTCTACTATGCACAGATAGAATCTTCTACTTATGATGCACAAAACCAATAGAAAGTTGACAACTCAACAGGGAACCAACTTAATTGATTTTGGCACATCAACGAGGATAGATAACCTGTGTATACAAAAGTGTATGGTAAAGTATCTACAATTTATGAAGGATTGTCTTGTTAAATACAAGAATATAATGGGCATCAATGTAATGCTAAATTCAAGGAACTAAAAATCAAGACACCTAATACAAGTTGTCAAACTTTGATTGATCTAGGGTTACAATAAAGATCCATGGTGGCGGCGGTAAAAAGAGAATGGAAAAAGAAAGCAATGGCACTGCAATGTTGACAAATTTGTTAAAGGGAATCATCTATCAAATGTAGATCATGTGCAATGAAGAAAGCATGAACTCCTAGGAAAGCAAAGAAAAGAAGCAATCTCAGCAAAAGAGGAAACATTTGTGGATAAAATGTAAGTTTCGTAAAAATCGATAAGGATAAAATAGTTGATATTTGATATATTGTTGAATGGATGAAGTAGTTCATATTTGGTGATAGAATAAGGTATTTATCTCTAATTTTTTTGGAAGCTACGGTGAAGAATAAATACCAAATAAAAATATACTTATAATTTTATGCCAAATTTTAGTTGTTATGGAGACTTGGGTCCATCTATCACCCACTTGTAGAAATGTTAATTAATGAGAGGATTCATGATTATCATTAAATTAGTACAGTTGTCTAGGCTATATATTAAAAATAGCAGGCTGTGATAGATTATATTTTTGAAATTTCAGGAAATTGAAAGATGAACCAAACGATGATTGGATGAGTAGAGCAAGCTCAAGGCCAAGAATGTTCACTATTAATTCTTCTTGGTATAAGGGTGGTGAAACTGGCGTTGTTGGAACCAACCCAGAACCTTTTTGTTATGGAAATCACACCACAACAATGGACACAGAAATCAAAATCAAAGAATCACACAATGGGCCCCTTGAGATTGCAAGTAAGTTACAGTACCAACATCTCAACACGTATGGCCAAAGATGTATTGGAAAATTTGAATGATGAACAAAGAAATGCTGTACGGAAAATTAGATTTGGTTCTTTGTTGAATCTTGAAGCTCTTGAAGTGGACATGGATCTATCATCATGGCTGGTGGTTAATTTTAATTGTGAAAGATACACTCTAAATGTTCATGGATGCAACGTCAGAGTAATGCTAGAGGATGTGGAGCACGTGATGGTGTTGTCATCAAAAGACGTCAACATCGCTGCATTGCAGAACGGCTGGTACATAGGCCCATTGCTTGAAGAGCAACTAGGTATCAAAGTAAAGGATGAAGAAATAATGTTTACTGAGCTTAAAAAGAATTTGTTATTTTCACAAAGTCATAATGTTGATTTTAAGGCGAAGTTTGCATTACTCGTAATTGAAAAAGTATTGGCTCCAAGCAAGGCATGCCCATTGAGCAGGACCTTGATACCATTTCTGCACGAGATAGAATTGTTGAACCAAATGAACTGGACCAAGTATGTTTTAGATGAATTAGTAGCTGGGATTAGACGGAGCAAAATGAATAAAGCTACTTCTGTTGATGGATGTGTTCTTTTTTTGATAGTAAGAACTCAATTAAATGAAAATTACTCTTGCATGAAACATCACAATAGCATTAGATGGAACACTAATATGATTTTTTTCATAACTATGTGCAGGTGTTCTATATAGAGCATTTTACAATATATGGCAATCCCCATATTCCTCTAAATATTCGAGCGATACTGAGACTGCATTTCTGGGGAGAAGATAAACTGAAGAGGAGGATCTATAAATTGAAACAGCTTGGGGTCTTTAATGGAGCCAATGTAAGTGTCAAGATAGTAGTTAATATAAAATTTTAATACCTATTTTTGATTGTCATTATTGTTATATAGGTTGGAGTGATTATTGAAGATTCAGTTTTGATTTCCAAGGCGTCTATGGAGGATAAAAGAAACTCACTTATGGATAAGAGGATGACTGATTTAGAAGAATCCTACAAAGAGTTGAAAGATGGATGTAAAGTGGTTTGTGAGTCAGTGATTGCCTTGTCACGATCATTGGAGTGTGTGCAAGGAGTAATTGTTAGTGAAATAAGAAGGCTAATAGAGAAATTTGATAATGAAAAGTCTTGTGATTATAGAAACAAGACGAAATTAAATATTCTGAATTGTCGAATACCCCCTACGATGATTGAACATTTTTCTGGTGATGCTCAAAGCAATAGGGTACCAATGCCATTATGCGAAGATGACAAGAAGGCATCAATAGATGTAACTTCTTCGATTAAGCCGGCAAGTGTTGAGATAATAGCTAATAAACCAGCTACAGACATGAAAAAGAGAAAGGGTAGCTCATTCTCTACCCAAAAATGCATTAGAAAACCTTTTAGACTTCCAAAAGCTGACTCAGAGGTATCATCTAATAGGTCGGCAAAACTTAGACTTTTAAGTATTGCTCGCCAATGACTTGCATCCAAGCACAAAAGTCCTGGAGCAATAGACAAGAGAACATTAATGAAGAAGAAGGTTGGTCAGAAGCAAAAACATAAGGTATTATCATTTGTTAGAGCATTGTTTACATTAATGAGTTGTGATTTTTCTAAATCATCATATTGACTAATAATTACATTTGTTGCAATGACTTGAACATGAGGAAACCCATTGATAGATGCCTAGGCCTCATTCTTGATCAGCCAATTGACATTGTAAGTCAATATTTAAAGACGTTGACAACATGAGAGCTTTCTGCCTCACTAAACTAACCCAATTAGTTTAACCATGACCCTAAACATATGGCAACATGGTAATCCTAGCGTCTCCATTTGTTTACACGAATACTGCATAACTTGTGACTCCCGATTGTATAGGACTCTCCATCGTCTATTTGAATAGGTATGAGCAATGAAGTGGATGCACAGGACTCCATCATCCATCATGTTGTACCTAAAATACATATCTTGGCTCTTCATTTCTTTTCTAACCTTTATAAATATGCGTCTTGTAGAGATTTCTGTAGAATGCCTCTCTAAGTAATGCATATCAGTATTGGGTAAGAGAGAGGTGTGCTCTATCTCCGCGTCCAATCTCGCCTCCTCATGTTAAAGCCATGCCATTGCTAGGTCAAATGCCCTAACTGACTCAAATAGTCTTTGCTCTTTGTGTAGGTATATCTTTAAAACATCGTTCATCTTCTCTAAATGTTGTGTGCTCCTCATGCCATCAAAAAAGTTTCCTCAGAGATATGCTAATACCCATCTTTCCCTTTTCTTGTAGATGTACTTAATCCAATCGTGATTCTGGAGATTGCATAAGGTGACTAAAAACTGGTCAATAGAGCAGTTTCTATACATGCAATTTTTGAACCCTTCCCTAAACTCCTCATTAGCAATATTGAGATGAGATTTTGCTATATGTGCCATGAACAAAGGCGATGCTTTGCATTCGGGAAGAACCTCTTGATTGCTTTCCTCATCTGAGGTGCCCATCCGTCACAACTGATAATGGTTGTTTGCCATCCATTACCTCAAGAAAGTTGTTAAGGATCCATTCATATGTTTCAACTTCCTTGTCAGGAACAGTAGAGCATGCAAAAACAGACGTGCAAAAATGATTATTAATGCCACACATCACAACCACTGGATGCGCATATCTATTTGTGGTGAAGGTACTATAAAAAACTATGACATCACCATAATATTTGTAGTCCTCCCTAGATCGAGAATCTGACCAAAACAATCTCCCCAACCGGCCATCATAGGTAACAGTAAAGTTAAAGTACACTTCAAGGTCAGCATCCTTCTTTGCAAATAGATATGCAATTGCATCATCTGCATCCCTATCTGCAATTTCCTCCATCCGACCT